AACCCCTAAAAACCCCTAAACCCCAAAAAACCTAAAAAACCCTAAAACCCTGAACCGCTAAACCCCTAAAAACCCTAAAACCCTATTTTTAGCCAGATAGCCCCAGTGCCCAGCGACTTGAGGAGGTAGTCTGCAAAGGCTGTATCATCGCCTGCGAGGGGGCACTGCTGCATGCAATAAGAGATCGACTAAGCTTAAGCACTGCATCACTTAAATGTCGAGGCAGGATTCGAATCGTTTTTTCACCGCTCTGGCCAGGATCGCACGACAAGCACAGCCCGGCCGAACGAAACTTCAAAATCACCAACGCTCGAGCACACCTTGCAGCTTCCCCTGCACTGCTTCGCGATGCAGCAGCCCTGTACGATCCCCTTCTGTTTAAGTAGACAAAACACCAGGCTATTTTTTTAGGGTTTAGGGTTCGGCACTGAAACGTACACCAAGTTTAGGGTTTGGGCCTGGGCTTTAAGGCTAGGGTTTAAGGCCGGTGTAGGGGTTATGACATCGAACAGTACTACTAGGGATTTCTTCCAAGGCCTAAGCTTTGGTTCTAGAGGGGACCTTTAAATCGGCCGGTGCAAAGCATGCAGTGAAGCCACCATTGCCACAAGGTTCCAGTGCCAAGCCTCCGGATCCTACTTGAAAAACTGAGCCCCTACCTCTTAGCAGCCGCTTTGGCTTTGCTCTTGCCCTTTGCTTTGCCCTTTGGGGCCTCTGCTTTTACGGGTCTCAGATGCATCTGAACGTGCTTGGCAGCCGATTTGAACGATGCATTCGCCTGTCCCAGGCAATGCACTCGCTCCTCCAACTCCTGGCCGACGGTGCCAACAGCCAGAGACTCCTGCAACAACTGCATTAAGGGGGCTCCAGGATTGTGGTATACATACATATATATATATATACAGGGTCATTATTATAATTATAAGTTGGGGATTACACTAGGGGTGAGAACTCTGAAAATTGAAATTTAATTCAAAGAATCACCAATCCTCCAGGCGCCCGACATGCTTCTGGATGGATTCATAGTGAACACTCATACTCTGGCACAGTGCATCGATCAGAGCTGCCTCCCTTAGAACCACATAGCAATTACGGGTTGTTTGGGTTTAGGTTTCTCACGATGTGAGGACGAGGCACTCTAGGGTTCGTTTGGGCTTGGGTATG